AAAGACAGTTATGTTTTAGAAATTATATATATATCCAGCAAATAACTATAACTAAATTTTCAATTTTCAATTCATCGCGTACGTTATCTTTAGGTTTCATATAAATTTTGCATTGCAGTACGTTGCACCTGTGCGCACATCACAATAACCGTTCGAAATAATTTAATCAGAACATCTTTCTTTTTCGATAGATTTATTGAAAAATTTTCGCGATTCAAAATTACAAAGCGCAAACTAACCCATTCCTAGCCAGAGGATGGTAATTAGAGATTTGAAACTATTATATTACAGACATGAAAAGAAATTATTAACGAATACATTAAAAGCATAGCTTAAGCTCTCATAATTAACTTTTTTTTTTTTTTTTTTTTGAAAAAACATGTTTACAAGGATAAAATAATTTGAATGAGAAATTTTGGTAAAAGGTTTGAACCAGTTGGAGCGGACGAGGGTAGAATTTTCTTCATTTCGTTTGAGAATTTACATGATCGAGCATTGATTGGTTGGGTCGCCGCCACTGGGTTTTTCGGTAACTCCCAGTATTGAGGAGTGCATGATCGAACATTGATTGGTAGGGTCGCCACCGCTGGGTTTTTCAGTGACACCGGTTGTAGTGGCAGAAGTTGAGATTACAGTTGGATTCATTTTTAATTGGTTAAGTGAGATTTGAGTTTTTGAAGGTTCGGAAGTTATTTTGTTTTAGCTTTTGTTAATTTTCTTTCAGAAGAAGGAGGCGAACGAGGTCGTATTTATAATGAAAATTTCAAGACGCAAACAATGACTTTTAATGTCATTCATTTAAGAAGTACTATTGTTGTTATTGTCCTTTATAATCGTACTTCGTTGAAACGAACACACAATATTGCATGCAATGATGAATGCTTTTATTCATACCTGGAACATACGGGTGTGCATTATAACATTACATGCATACATGACCCGTAAACATTACCGCATATGCACAAACTCGATGCATGCTTTTTTTTTAATAGGCAATTGTTTTCGGAAGAAATTTAACGCTAACTAGTTAATACGTTATTTATAGTTTTTCACATGTCCAAATTTGGCTTAATTTAACGCAAACGTTATACGAAGAATATGGTTAACCCCTACATTTCTTCAATATAGGTTAAGAAAGTATTTCGATGAATTTTATTTATTTATTTATTTTCTATAAGTCGATCCTATAATCCTTGATGGCTAATGTTTATTAATGAAACTCAAGCTGATCTCCTCCTTGACCAGAGGAAAGACTAAATAATTTTCCGAACTAAATATAAATATACTGTAGAACGTTAGTGATCTTTTATACGTCACATGATGTAATTGCATAATCGAATATTGGTTGGTTGGGTTACTCCACGTATTCTAGCAATGTTTGCAGAAGTTAATAATTAAATCGATAGTTGAATATTATTTAACGAAAAGAAAATGAGTGAACGTGATGTATCTCTTGTATAATTATTGTTTTCCATTACAAAAAGTGTCATATTATCTCCAAGTAATCGGTATTTGTAAATCACTCATACCTATTATGTACTAGACGTCTGTGCATTATAACATTGTCTCATATTGTTACCTCTAGCTCTTGATGATGATTTCGAGCCAAATTTATTTTACTGCAATTGTAAATTACCGTACATTAATCTGATAATTCGAACTCGACTCAATGTAACGAGACGCATATTAATTTTACATAACAATTTCTGAAGTTTGGTTTCTCCATTCTTAATTAACATTGTAAATTTAAATACTGTTATAACCAACTGGTCATGGTTTGTAGAGAATCATTAACAAATTTTATTGAATATTGCTAGACCCTAGCATAATCGCTTGAAGAATCAGAATTTAGAATCAAATTGAGTGAATCAATTAATTGGAAAATTTCGAAACTTGCAATATAATTGATAAAAAAAAAAAAAAAAAAAAAAAAAAAAAAAAAGATGAAACGAAATGAAATTTTTATGACTACAGATATCGAGGCAAAAAGTTGTTACTATCACGATTTAAGTAGACATCTTTGAAATATTTTACAGGAAAGGAAAAAAAAAAAAAGATTTTTTAAAAGAGACTAAATTTTAAGAGCCGAAGGGTAAATGTATTTGAAAACAAAGCTATAAATGAGAAAATGAAAATTACAACAAGATACGGCCAGATGATTTGCGGTTTTCGTGTGAAATTTTTACATGATTGAGCATTGGTTCGTGGGATCACCACCGGCAGGCTTTTCGGTGACGCCTGTAGTAGTAGCGGAGGTCGAGATGATAGTTGGATTCATTTTTGATCAATTGAACTTTGAGAATTTAGAATTATTTAATTTTTATTTTGACGTTCAAAAAATTTTTTGTTGAAAAAAAGAAGACCGATGGAGCCATATTTATAATGAATATTTTTCTAAATAACTGCGGAATGACGACTTTCTTTGGGACAACGGCGATTGCTGATAGTGGACAATATTGCAAATCGAAATGACTACAATAACACGATTGTACCGAACTTGAAACCAAGGAGATTAATATTGTCTAAATCATGAGTGCATTAATGATTCATGCGTAACAGCTGGCACAGACTTATCGACGATCAAATTTGAATGCGATCGGCGAATGAGCGGGGCATAAAAATCGTTCTTTTATTTACGACGGAATAAAAACATAAGCAATTATTTGAAAATAAACGAAATCAGATTGTACTCAAACACGGAGTTTCATGTGTTTCCAATATAGCAAACCCTCAAATTCGCGCGTATTATGGACAAGGAGTAGTAAAAAGCTGCGAAGAGAGGTGAACTCTCTATCTTGAAATAAAAGATATTAGCATTTGATCATACTTATCATAAAAGATCACAAAGTCATCTTGAACATTATAAAAAACGAATTTCATCGTTTCCACTTTTCATGATACTCTGCAACCATACCTTTATAATAAAGTTTTGTATTTAAACGAGCCAAAGGGGAAACTTACTGTATATTATTTCAATAATTAAATCAATATATTAGCGAATAATAATTAAAATGAAACTTTCGGACGAGATTGCATTATTTAAAGTAGTAAATCTTATTTCGAAATACGTATACAAAAATGATAAGTCGTATTTTCGAAAAATACGATATCGATCATTCTATTTCAATACAAATACTGCATATGCTGTATATTCCGTACATATTATCATGAATAGCTTAAACTTATTAGTCAATCGAAAAACCAAGATTATATTTTTATTTTATATACAGTATATATAAATTTTGTTTTTAAATACAGTATACGCAGTATATAATTGTTTTATGGGTCATACATTAAG